TTTATAAAATTAATAATTTTAATAATAAAAAATAAAAATATTTTAAAAAATATACTTATTTGTTTTTAAACATGTCTTTATTAGTCATTTAATATTAAATAACAACCGCTAACTATTGTATAACCAAACAGTTGTATTTATCGAATCTGTTATTTACCATCCGCTACCCACTTTCCGCTATCCGCCACCCGCTATCCGCCACCCACTACCGCTATCCGCTATCCACTATCCGCTACCCGATATCCGCTATCCGCTGAATTTCGTTGTACCAAACAGGCCCTTAATTCAAGTTCAAATAATAGTGTTATTGCATGAGATGACGGATTTCCCTAAATTAATTAACCAGCTTTCTCAAGTCGAGTTAATCCTTCATATATTTGCTAAATTAATCATATCTCTATATTTATTTGCTAAATTAATCATATCTCTATGTAATTTTAAACAAATTAATGAGCATTAAATTCAATGGAAACCTCTAGCTTAAGAGGGGGGAGCTACTAACTCTCTTCTCTTCCTCCACTACCACATGTGAGCTAATTACCTCTCGGTATCATAGTCTAACACACGGTTTATATTATTATTGGTCTAATTTACACAATTCTTTCTCAAGTTCATGCATAAATCACTAAATCAATTGAAAGGTGATCAAGCTCTTAATGCATTAAGTTCAATAATATAAACTCATCATGCAAATAACCAATAAATCTTGAATTAAACTAACAAAAACAGTCACATACTTCAAAAATTAAAATCCACCCATTCCTAGTTCAAAGAAATCTAGCCACACATGTTTATGTTCTCAACAGCCATGAAAAATAAATCCCAGCAGAAAATCATAGTAAAAAATCAAAAACAACAAAAACCCAAACAATGGAGAATTGCAGTTTGCCGGATGGTGCGCTGTTGTCTGAAAGCAAGGCTGGCGGAGAAGAAGCAAGACTGGGTGGTGTTGAACAGAGGCTGGGCGGCGGCTTTTCCTCCAATGTGCAGACCAATCTCGTGCAGCTGTCCTCCTCTGCTGCTGGTGAACAACAGATGCGGGTGGCTGGGATTTTGGGCGGCTGGGTGCTCTTCACCTCTTGCGCAGAACAACTTCCTCCTCTGCTCTCTCGGGGCTGCTCTCATATATATCTTCAGAAATTAGAAACCCCTTAACCCTAGCAGACATGGGAATTGGGCTTTGTTTTGGGCCTGGACTGCAGTTGTCCCACACCTAGAAAACATAGCCCAATTCTCTTTATTTCTCCACTCTGTCCATTGTCAAAACCGCCAACTTCAACTTAAATTCTGTATTGATATAGAAGGAACTGGGTTGAGCTCATAAAACATCAATTGTAGCTTTGCTTCTTAGCTTTCCAACGCCTAAAGAATCAACTCAGTCCGATACCTAGAGAAAAAAGATATGGTTAAATTACTACAGCATGTGCAAATTGTCACTTATTGCAAAATTAATTCATATCTTAATTTTCACCGATAAATAATGAATTTAATATAAACAAAAGTGAAACTAAGTTACAAAAGACCCATAAAATTTAATTTTAGACTCAAAAAGGGTAGATAAATGCATATAAAAATTAAACTCATTAGACAAGATGTTAAGTTGAATACCTTTGTAAAAAGTGAGGAGCATTGCCCCACCTAACCCAATTAATGTTCCTAACACTTTTGCTTTTCCCGACATGGTATTAAGACATAATTTCTCCATTATGTCCCAAAGATAGTTGTTTACACCTAAAATAAACCAATAGGGTAAGGCCACGTGTCAAGGTAAAGCCCAATCATCAAGAAAATTAATAGGCTGGATTTGGGCTGGGCTGGCTTACAATTTAATGGCCCAGACGGATTTCCAAGGAGGTTGGATCTTAGGTGGCAGAAGATAAGATTGGATCTGGTAGTTT